ATCTGTTCTGTTCGATTTGCTCTGACAAATATTATATCCTTACATCGATCGTTATATATTCATGGCAAGAATAATTATATGGAAAGAATCTTCATAAATGAAGAATCTCAAAGATAAGTTTCAAGAATAGTGTTCATGAAGATTATGAAATTAAATATCTGTTTCGTGAAGTTGGTTAGATATTAATAATTATAATACCGAGAAATCTGATAACAGGTTACTCCAAATAACCAATTCTAAATTTTCGAATTCAGTACAAAAAAAAAAAAAAAAAAGAAAAGGAAATTATCGATTTACCTGAAAGAAATTTTATTTAGCCTGAGAGATTTAAGTATCTCCAAATAATTTCTTAGTTCAGTTACTTCGAGTTACTTCAAATAGGATAATATATCATTCTAGTTTGTCATTTTTGAAGTTCTATTGTTTGAAATGATGTCCAGCCACCTATTCCAAATTCTAGAGATTTTAATCGTCGCATCGGCAGTGAAAACAATTGGCCAACAGTATGCGTCACAACGAAAATATTATAAAGTACTTTCCTTGACGAGGCTTGTGACGACGCAGTGCTGGCAGCGAGGCCACGAAATTCCCGGTTTATTGTTTCTGCCGAGCAAAAAGCAGCCCCCGCCATATCCACGCCGATCTCATGGGATAGGTCATGGCGGTGGTTTATTTGGAAAGACCTCAAAATTTCTTAAACAGCTCGCGAGAGGTGCTTGTCGACGAGTCAACGCGAAGAGAAGCAATAGAAATCGTTGTCTTCTTCTTCTTTTTTGCTTTCAATTTCCTTCCTGATTATAACAAATGACAATTTTAGCTCGAACTTTATCGTAATGATCATCATTTTATAGCACCTAATTTCTAATTGCTTTGCCTACGATTACCTCCTCTTTGAAATACAAAACAATCGAGTTAACTGTTGACTAGTTTGATTAGAACAATGAATCGAGATTTGAATTGAAAACCGTAAAGCATGGCATCGTCGGATCGATTTCTTTCAAAGAAGGAAAGCTAGGGGAAAAAATGGCGACACCTGACGAACTTATCAGATGGATTAACCGTTGGAGAAACTACGGCGAGCGACGAATTTAGATAGAACGCAAGCAAAAGACAATTAAACTTTGGCCGAAAGTTCGAAAGCGTTCCCTGTGTAGCCTGAGGGACGGTTACGGGAGAGACCGAATCGAAACACGTACAGCGAACGTCGTTTCATTTAAATGAAAATTAGACGTTCGCAGCCTGTGTCATCGATTTTTCCCTTTTAGCCAGAAACCACGCGCGGAAAGTGAAGGAGGAGGGCATCGAAGCTCGATAAAGTCATCTCGAGATAACGATCCAACGATTCACCCCAGTTTTCAATTAGAAGACACTGGAGAGAAATCCTGCATGGATCTACATATCTCAATAGATAATTTCTGGTCTTACCAAAAGTATAACGGGTGAGTCAAAAAATAAAATATCCGTAAAATACCTCCATTAGACAGACGTCTTTAAGTAGATTTCTAGCTTCAGGTAAATTTAGCGAAACAAAATTTCTCGGAAATTTCGACCGACAACGTCTAGCATTATCAACGAGTTCGATATCTATCTATATTCAAAA